GGGGGGGTCAGAATAGTCTGATCTTAGTCACAAGCCAAGAAAGCCCACGCATAAAGTGCATAAATGACGAGAATTAAAAACATCAATCAAGTAAACGGCTGCTTTTAAACCCATGTCAAAGTAGTATCTTTAACATTGTGTAATCACTTTTCTTGATAGGGCAACTTACTGCAAGGAATAACGTCACATTCCTCCTGGCTACCATCTTGAGTTACGCAAAATGGCCGATCCAGACCGGCAGGGTTGCGGCAGTAATTGTTGTCCAGGTTAGCCCAGGAGTACTCGTCGGTGTTATAATCAGTTGACCACTCCATACAATCTACGCCGGATGCTGTCTTACTCCAACTTCCGCGGTAGTTTTTTCCATTGCCATGGTAGCAAACTAAGGTAGACAATATCAATGAAATAGCTGCTGATCTTATCAATCATTAAAATGATAATCAATTAAGTTTAACGTGGTCTCAAGAAGTGGGATGTCATTATACCTATGGAAAAACCAAACGCAATCATTAAAAAATATTTTAACACTTGGTTTCTTTTTGCACCATAAAGATACTCTTAGGCAACGGTAGACATCGACTGAAATGGCCGCCTTACAATGTGCCAGTTTACCTTCGTCTGCCTTCTTAGTTGGTTCAGGATTCCAACAGCCATTTTGCGATGTTGGAAACAGCTCACACGGAGGAATGTTGTCCTTTATTCGGTCATCAGCCTTGTTGAGCACTTCCTCACACCACGAGCGGCATGGTACCAGTTGTGAACCCCTAAGAAATGACTCTACCTATTAGCAGACGACGGGAGTAGGAAATTTCCTACGTAACGTTTGTTACCTTACGCAGGCGTGGTATTATTGATGACTTACATGTACATGTAATGACATTTCACCATTAAAGGTCGTTAAATTGTAAGATCCGATCGTACGATAGAACACTACTTGAGGCAGATCAGGTACAACGAAAATGGCTGTCGTGGATTCTTATCAGTGGCTGGCGCTGTTACTGCCTGCTTGAATATCCTCAAGTGCCATACATGTGAGAAACATCTGCGTCAAAGTGACATTGCACCTACGTCAGGGCATTACAACCATCCCTAAACAGAGACGGGGGCGCCACAGACTTTATGCAACCTATGATCCACCGCTCACGGAGTCACGTATGTTATTTGCGTGACGTCACGGAAGCGGTGTATTGTTCATTCCTTGACAAATACTGGAGTTGTACAGTCGAAAATTTGGGTGAGTTCAAATTGTTGTGTTGGAAATTACAGTTTAAACTTGCTTCAAATGACATTGCACCTGTAGTTACTTACGTGCATAATGAGTTGTCTGCACGTGGAGACGGAAGGCAATGACTTGAGTTCTCCTTAGAGACACTGCATTGTGGGAAAATGACTGTAGTTACGAAGTCTCTTAATTCCGGATGGTAGTTCTCTCTGACGTCGTCAGAAATGTTGAGCAGTTCCTGGACAGAAGAATTCAACATTGCCTCAAACGTCTCCTGTCCCAGTTGGTTCGGCAACATTGTCAGTCTGTTGTTGAGGAGAAAATCATCGGGAATAGACAGGCACACTGAAATTCAGAACAGGCAGATCCAACATATCTTTATATTTTAAACGTAATGGAGGGAGTTAGGTTTTTTAAGCTATGATATGATAAACATAGGTTCAGCTTACATTTTCAGTTAAATTTTAGGACATGTCAACTAAGACAGTAATTTGCCAACTAAGAGAGTTTTATCGTTTTTTCTAACTCGGTAGCTTACCTAGCTATTTAAAAAATATATAATGAGTATTCCAGCAGATAGAAGAAAACGTAAGAAGTGCTTTCTGAAAAAAGCTGCCATTTTCGCCTCTATAAAAAGGATTATTTACTGGCGGTTATAATGGGATGTGATCTATAAATGATGTGTTGTGAGATGTAAAATGGATAAGAAAGTAGAGAGTAGAGGTCTTTTTTTGGAGAAGGTGTGTTTTAACAGGGGAAGGGAGATTGTTGTGTCATGTTGCAGATATTCTGTGTATGTGGAATTTGAACATTACAGCTGTGACATATATATTTTTGTAGCAATATTCAGTAAACTTATAGTTTACAGTGGTGTTTTTGAGTTGTGAAATGAAAAAAAAAATGTTTAAGATAAAATGTGCTCTTTATTTCAATACTAGTGTATGGGTAGTTTAAAATGTTTAAGATAAAATGTGCTCTTTATTTCAATACTAGTGTATTATCTTAAGAACAACCTTCAGTGGTGTGGTATCGAGCCATCCGAGTTTGAGACAGCTGCCGCTGATCGGCCAGCCTGGAGGGCTCTTGTGACAAAGGCCACATCTGCGTTCGAGGAGGAAAGGAGGAGACGCCTCGAAGCTGTGAGGGAGAAGCGTCATAGGACAACAACAACTACTAGTACTACGGAATACCAGTGCAGCAGGTGCGGGAAGCTGTGTGCCTCAGCCTTGGGCTAAGAAGTCACCAGAGGATCCACCCCACCTGACGGGCTGTGCACAGAAGTCATCATCGGAGACGATGGACAACCAGAGTGTATGGGTAAATCTTTGTTACTACGTGAAGGAGGTCAGGACCTCCGGACGGAGTGTTGTGATCGGCTGATTTTTCATGTTCGCAGTCAAAACACTGGGTTCTCTTTGTGTAATCGTCACGCAATTTTATACGCCGTCTGCGGGCATGCCCGTGTTGATGCACGAATGTGTATTTTTGCCGTTGCTGCTTTCTCGGTCAATGTAATATTGCAGACGCACCCCTACAATTACGAGGCGAATTGGAATGGTCCAGAAAAACGCGTTGTTTGGAATAGCAGTGGGGGGGAGGTAAAAGTTCATGCAGATACGGGGTGGTTTTGATAAGTGGTTCCAGATGTTTTTGCCCATGGTTAAGAGATGCCAAGTTTTTTGGAAGATGTTCGCAGCCAAAACGCATTCTTCCGTACGTCGCATTTCTGTGTAATTTCGCATGTGGTGTTGCATTATGTCCGGGATGATGCACGTCTTTTTATTTTTACCGTAGCTGTTTTGATATTGGAGTAAATGGTTATTTTCGAAACATCCCCATGCCGTTGAAATGTTGTCGTCCGTTTATGTCACCGGTAGTAAGTCGCGGCGGGGCTGATGGTCAACACATAACATTAGGAAATGTTAATACCGATAACGTAATCCTATCGATTTCAAACTGGTCGGGTGTGGCGACCTAGTGGCGGCGTGTATTTAGTCACGTAGCAACTGGCCGGTCGTCCTAGCAACGATACATGGCCAATATTTTTGGGTTGGGCCGCTCCATAGTGTTAGTGGAGCAGCTCTTTGTAAACATGGACAATATTTTTGAGCAACCCATCAATGTGTTCTGCCTCGTGGTCAGATGTGGTCTGGGGCTGGTAAACCGCACATACAGTACTAGTAGATCGGGTAATTTTATGATTTGCTAGTTGTAAAGGCGTCGTGTAGTATGAGCCGGTATATGAAGAAGTAGCCTGTGTTACACAATCATGCTTTCGGCCGGATTGATGTGCAACTGTTACTAATTGCAGGGACTGCGCTAATGCCGACCAGTCGCGCTGTCCTGATACACCGCGAATGTGCGAGTGTTCCCTGTAGACAGTCCCGGGAGTCATTTTTTTCGCACATTCCAGGAGCCAAACCAAAATACGTTCATGAACCGAGTCCAAAAAACCGAAACGTGAAAATCGGATGATCGGACCTGATGTACATTTCTCTTTCTGTAGATTGTACACACAATACACACATCTTTAGATAATCTAGCCATGGCAGGTAAAAAAAAAAGTAACCCTGAATCATACTAGATTAGCGTAAATGCATGTTTATGCGTTCAAAACAAGAAAAGAATTTGTTTCTCGGTATTAATCTCTTGAAACACGGCGCTGAATATTGACGCAAAATATTTCGGGCATCGCGCGCCCTTCCCCAAATCCCGCGTCACGTGTCGGCATTTCGCATCTCTGATTGGTTGTTGCGACTTAAGATGACTTAGCCGACGCGCGTTTAAACAATTTTTCTTTGTTCGATTTATTTTCTTCACAGAGAATTGTCGCCAATGGCTACTTCTTTTTGTTGCAATATATAATACTTCACGGAGAATTGTCGCCTATGGCTTCTTGTTACTTTTCATTAGAAATATAAATATACTGTACTTGTTGGGAAATACAAAATCCGTAGAGGCTATTGCATTTTACCCTTATGAAATGCACTTTGTGGCCTTGTCCTGCAACTTGAGTTGAAAATCTGACTAACTTAAGAGATAGAAATTCAAGCCCGAATAAGTACAAATATAGGGGTTTAATGAGTATATGTACAACAGAATCCATTTCAACATTATAATTAATTGGTATGGTACATTGTCTAGTCTGGTCAAAGTCTGAAGAAAAAAAAACTTACTGAAGAAAAAAAACTTACTGAGGAAAAAAAAATACCTGAAGAAAAAAAAATCTGGAGAAAACAAATTCTGAAAAAAAATATTCAGCTTAAAATTTTGATTGGTTTCCATCCAATTGTTTTCCTAAAAATCAATATTTTGATTGTATCAATTTTAAACGCCCTAGAATTAGTTCAATCGGCACTTTAAGGTGATTGCGCAATATGGGTGCCTATGACCTTCGTCCTTTTTCGGGTCATGCAGCTCTGATGCCGGCGCCCTCCCACTGCCTCGGCCGTCCATTTTGTGGGCAAATTTCTACTTTTTTAGGGGTGTCGGGATCTAAAAACTAACACCAAAGGGGAAATAAACTACATACGTTATTTTCATGGTAAATATCGCTAAAAGGAACCACGCATTTTTCTGCCGCGTTGCCGATTTTGAGAAGGACTTGCGGCCACCATGTGCTTTAAGCGTACGTATATAGCTATCCCTGATTGGTCGGGCGTGTGACGCACTGGACTGCCGGCCAATGGGAAAGCTGAAAATCTAGACTGCCAATGCTCATTGACATAATTTATGCAGTTTATTAAAATCCTTGATTTCTGTGATTATAGACATATTTTTATCAACATTTTTGGCACATAATAAAATCAAGTTATCGTTTAAGACAAAGTGAGTTTTTTTGTCAGCAGCTTTGTTATGCAACATTATTATAACCATGATTTTGAAATTAGCAAACCACAATAGAAAGTATACAAACTTCCAAGGCATGGATAAATGTTATGGCATGGACTGTTGACCCATTGTTGCATCCATCCATGGAATGTTTGTTTTGGTCTGATGACCATTTTGGCTCAGGCGAAAATGGTAAAAAAGGACTTGTATGTTCAGTGACTGATCATTTCTAATGAGGTAAGGATGGCCGTGGCTAAATAGCAATGAATGAAGCTGTCCTTGTGACGCACATAGAGCCATTCTTATCGGTACAGATTGACCTGTTTTGGCTACAGCTTTGTGGTTCCAAAAAATATGTCTTTTTAGGTTGACAAAAGGAACTGAATTCTTTAAGTGTTAAGAAAAAAAACCTTACACATCACTACTGTGCATATACACGAAACGATAGAAGAGGTAAAAATAAATATTAATACAACCACGTGTGGCCTAGATGCAAATGGGTTATAAAAATAATATTCTGAGTGTAGAGATGGACTCACCACAATCTTGCTCGTCACTACCGTCCGAGCAGTCCGTATGCCCGTCACAACGCCGCCATGGCAGGATGCATCTGTCTCTGGATGCGCAGCGGAAGTACCCCAGGGAACAGTGCACCTCTATGTGGGTCAAAACCTAATTTGTAATCTGACCTTTCAATGAACCATTATAATGGTAGATTGGCAGAATATCTGTTTCCAGGTAAAACTAAACCGGAGGTTCAAGACGCAAAGTAAGTTAAAGATATGCCAAAAAACAGTTACTCAAGCAACTGGATATGATTTTGAAAACGTCAGACGTTTCAGCTAGTATCCACTAGCTTTCGTCAGTGACTGAGAGACCAGAGGGGAAAGCAGGTTTATATACACAACCTGTTGATTGATATGCAAATAAAGTGAAGACAAATTTTTGGAAGTCGAAAAAGGAACAAAAGTCAGACAAGTCAAGACAAGATGATGCAAATTAGTCTGAAAGCTCCTGTTATACAGGACAGGAGCTTAAGTGTTGTCTGTCCTCGGGGCTGGGAGTGCCAAATCCCAAGTGCCGGAAAGATCGACCCGTAGCCCCCCTTCCCTGTTGAGGGTGGGGTTGTACATTCTTTCATATATTGCCTCTTTAACACCCCGTTCCCACCAGCGTGTTTCGCGGTCTAAGGCATCCGTGGACTCGAGTTTGAAAGAGTGACCCTGGTTGTGTTGTAGGTGGTGGAAAATAGCTGAGGAGTAGCCGTTGGCACTAGGTCGGCAATGTTCTTTGTACCTTACTTTAAGCGGTCGACTTGTCTCTCCGATGTAGGTGTTGTTACAATTGGGCTCCTCACATTTGAGTCTGTAAATAACATTCGCCTTGGTACCCTTGTGAGGTCGGTCCTTAGGGTGTACCAGTCTTTGTCTGAGGGTTGAGTGAGGTTTGAAGTTAGTGGCTATGTTGAAGTTTTGGAAGATCCGTCGGAGTTTCTCAGATACTCCTTGGACATACGGAATAGTGATGTTGGCCTTGTTTTTGTTGGTCAATGGTTTGCACTTCTGGGTTTTCTTAGACTGATCTGAAGGTTTGAGCGCTTTGTTGAAAGTCCAGTTTTGGTAGCCACATTTAGCCAGGGCACCTCGGAGGTGTCTATGTTCGTCCGTTTTGTCAGTATATCAACATCTTCTATTGAACTCTGGAGGGAGCCATCCGAATTTCGTGAATTTCCAGGGGAAAATTCTCCAATTATTGAGGATATCTATGAGGAGTCCAGAACTAACAAAAAGAGTTGGAGGGTTTGAATCATATGGCTGGTGATAGTTACCCACATCTTTACTAGAAAATAATATGAGCGGTTTTGGCCCACCCCCATATTCCGGCCTCTGCCCGGTTTTTTCCTGCAACGACTCTTGAACAAACAGTATGAAAGAATGTTGAAGAAAATTTAAAACAAACGTACACACATGTATAGATGTGATTCATTAAATACAGACCTGAGTCCCGGTAGTCGACACAGCCCGCGCAGTCACAGTGATCTGCCGTGTTCCCACACCAGTTGTTAGGAGAGCAGCACGGGTAGATACCGTCAGGGTCACACTCAGCGGTCCTCCCGTCTGCTGTAGTGTACCCGGCTAAACAGCGGAGATCCTCGCGCCATTTCTGAGTAGCTAAAAGAAAAAAAAGAACTGATTTTTACCTTTGCAAAATAATCGTCAACAGTGTACGCTGCAGGAACACAGCTGAGCGACCCCAGGAGTACAAAGTGTGTTGGTGTCACCATCATAGATATTAGCGGCAGTGGCCTGGCTATCCTTTTGTGGACATTCTTACCACAATCACCAGAAACGTGTACATTATGACTCAAACAAGCCCCCCCCCCCCCATTTGATGCGCGGCATCACCTGAGCTAGCTGTGGACGACTCGAAAATCATTTTTGTGTAAGAATACATGATACCGGTGTCAATGCAGATTGATCCATTGTAGACAGGATTCTTCTTGCTCTCAGGCTACTTGCTGAAAAGTGAAGAGAGTATAGAAGAACCATGTTTGTTTGTTACGTATGCGCATCTCAAAGCTGCCTTTGACTCCGTCCACAGACACTCCACGTGGAAGCTCTTACGGTCCAGAGGTATTTCGGACAAGATTATCTGCCTTATTCAGAACTATACACAGACACTGTAAGCTGTGTCAGAGTTGGAACAAACCACTCTGCAATATGCGGATTACATCTTTACCGATATGGATATGCTGACGATATGGAACTGGTCGCTGAACTATTCGGAGTCTTCGTGAGCACAATCCGAAGAAAGTCAGGGTCTGGAACTCGAGGTCAGTCAAAGCTGAAGACAAAGATCCAGCTACACTCACTCAGAAACTGGATGTTTTGATTCCGAGTGCCTTAGAAAGAGAGTCATCTGCTGGCTTGACTTTATCTCAAATGAAACAGGACAAACCAACCGCCGGTGAACCAGCAGATGACCTTCGTGGAACACACCTCCCAAGCTGTTCCTACGCAGGACGTTATCAAACGGTTGACTTCACAACGTGACCCAACCTAGAAAAGACCAAGGGGCCGCCCAAGGGCAAGATGGGAAGACCAGGAGCTGGGTGTCAGAACCGACTGAAGGATCTGCACTTGAAGCAGAACAACCTGGCGGGACCTGTGCATGAATGTAGCCTCCATGTACCAGCATCTGATTGCCCGAAGATGATCGGTTGATTGATGACCATAAACATAATACTCAGCTTAATACTCTTCCTCCGAGCAGCAGGCAATCAAATCACATGTAAAGCATATTTTGTGTGCATAAAGCATAAGTTTCTGAGCCAACGTATTTTTATTTAGCATAATAAATGTGATGTGATGTAAATGTATGTTTCTGTGGCCATATATAATTGGTGTATTAGCCCTGGAAGATTAGGCCCTTTAGGAGCTAAAGGGTATCCCAAAAAAGTGAAACGGAAATGTCACAAAATGCAATTTTCACCTATTTGTCGACAAAACTATACTTAACCCTACCTAGACCGGGCTTTTTTTGACATGGGGGAACGGGGGGGGGGGGGCGTCGTCACTGAATGACATCCAGTAAATTTCTAGCTGGGACCAATCAGAGGGCTGCTGAATAATTTGAATAATTCATCAAGGCCCACGGACGCGGTTCTTTCACTTGTAAAGTAGCCAATTACCACCGAGCCGGTGGCACACGATGGGCGAAAACATGTATTTCACACCCATTGTACGTCGACATAAAGCGCTTATACATTACAAACAGAATTTTCGTAGGACTGCCATTACTTTAGTTTGCAGCATGTGTATTGAGAACGAGTATCTTCATAATTCTGCTGGTTGTTTGTAGAAGAACGGCAAAATAAAACAGTTTTCAATACCAACACGACTTTGAAGATAACACGTAATGGAGCCCACTTTTTACGCAGATTGTAGCACTACGTAATGTTACACAAACTAACAGTAGATGTTTTAAGGAATTCACAGAAATGACAATGATAGATAATGTAACGCATATACATTATACAGCACAAAATAAAGAGTAACAGTAATGTAGTCGTCTTTGGCCGGGTATGGCAAGTTATAGTACGTACATGTATCGGTTCAATCTTTAACGGGTAAGTTGACAACAAGCAAGATACATAGGTTCTATTACTTTTGTAGCTCACTTGCGTCTAGATTTGGGACGAACCCATGTTACTTTTTCGTCGCAGTTTTTCATGTAGTGGTTACTTCGACAGCATTTCCGCTGACGCAAACATACTAGTTTGAGGTTCCACAGTTCTTACAACGTTAGCGCTTGAAGTGGTGTTTTCCAAGTTTGTTGGTCTGGTGATGTTGTCTTTGTTGGCTTGTTTGTCCCTCCATTTTTATGTTTGGCGGCCCGTCTTCGATGGGTTGGGTTTGGTTCACAAATCTCGGCTTCGCTATTAATAAAGATCCGTTCCTTCCCGTACGTAGTGATCGCTCCATTAGCGCTAGTGCAGCCACATTTGAATGTGTAAAACTTAATGTCTACAGTCCCGTTTTGATTCGTTTATCAAAGGAGATTTTACTAAGGTATGACTTTACTAACTGATTGTGGAAGTACTAGTACTAAGTACTGAACATGGAGGTAGAAATGGTTTCTACCTCCATGGTACTGAAGTAAACAAGAAACAATATACGCGCTCTGGTTGAGTTCATGGCATTTACATGAAACAAGGTGCTAATAGCCGCTAGTCGGTGACGCGTCAGCAGCCCTATGATTGGTCCCCGCTAGAAATCTACTGGATGTCATATAGTGTACA